TCAGGCACTTTCTCTTTAACCAGAGACTGCAGACAAGCTTGTCCAAGCTCCCCTTGCTCTTCGCGATTGCGATCGAACCACTAGCCGCTGCCATTCGTACTAGTGCCTCCATATCTGGAATCAAATTTGGTACAAGTGAACATAAACTTTCTCTATACGCAGATGACCTCCTACTATTCTCTTCTGCATGGTCTCCCCCAAAAATCCCTCCATAAGCTTCAACTGCTTCAGAACTCTGCTGCTCGCACATCACCTGTTCTTCAGGAACTTCACTGGCTAATAATATTCAAACTCCTTCTGCTCACCTTCAAGGCCCTTCATAACCTCGCTCCTCCTTTCCTTTCTGACCTGTTAACCACCACCTGTTCTGCCCGTTCTTCTTCTATCCAGCTTGCTGTACCTTCCTTCCGCCTCAGCACCGTGGGAAGCAGAGCTTTCAGCTGCTCTGCTCCCAGGCTGTGGAGCTCTCTGCCCCCAGAAATAAGAAACATTGGTTCTCCCCCAGTTTAAATCCCATCTGTTCAAATCTGCATATTCACTGTGAATCCACTGTTTGTTCATTTTATCTTGTGCTTTTGTTTTATTGTTCTTATTCTGCCATTGTTTTACTAAGTGTTTTATCCTATTGTAAAGTGTCCTTGGGTGACTTGAAAGGCGCTCATAAATAACATTTCTTATTATTATTATTAATATACATAACGGACCCTCTTAAATCAATTCCCTCCTTAATGAAGTGTCTCGAAGAATACAGTGGAGCCTCAGGATACAAGTTAAACTATACCAAAAGTGAGATTGTGCCATTAAATATACAAGACAGCCGTATTAGAGCTCTGACTGACCCATTACAGTGGCGTAATAATGGCTTCACGTACTTTGGTATACAAATTGGTAAATCCGAGGATCAAATATTCAAACTAAATTATATCAAACTGTTGGAGCAAACCAAACTTAATATTCAGAGATGGATGGATTTTTCATTATCTCTCATAAGCAGAATAAATGCTATTAAAATTAATACTTTGCCTAAATTCATTTACTAATTTCAATGTCTCCCTACAAATGTTCCTAAAAGTTTCTCCAAAGAGCCTCATAAACTTATAACTTCTTTCATATGGCAAAAGAAAAATCCAAGAGTCAAACTCTCCTCTCTGCAGGCCCCATATTCAAGGGCAGGACTTAATTTACCAAACTTTAGGAACTGTTATCTTGCCTCCCAGTACCGATCAGTTTGGATCTGGCTGCATGCAGAGAGCAGTGAGGTTCGATGGGTCCCAATAGAACAACATGAGGTGAACCCCCATTAAAAGATGTTCTATTTTTAGGTACAAAAAATGTCCAAGCTCACAAACTATTTGATATTAAACACCTCCTGCGTCTGGCAGGAATCCCCCTCACTTCTGAAAATAAATATCTCCTTTCTTAGAAGGACACCCCTATGGGGCAACCCTGACCTCTCTCATCAAATTGCTGACCCAATACTGCAGGGATGGAAGGACAGAAATATTGGAACTGTTGCTGACTTATACAATAATGACACATTTATTGACTTTCAACTGCTAAAGGAAAAATTCAAACTTCCAGGACAAAGTTTCTTCAAATTTCTACAAATAAGAGAGCAAGAAATAAGATAAGAGTCCAGGAGAAATCCAAAGGGTTGTGAAAGTTACCTGATCACAACAAAGCGTCCATAAAAAGAAAATGGGACCTGGGCCATGTCTATGAAGAGGTAGAATGACACCACCAGACTGTGTTAATTTCTACAAAACAGGCAAGTGCAATTTAACATACTTCATAGGATATATTACACCCCTTACAGGCTACATAAAATTGATAGTAATTACCCCCCAGATGCTTGAGATGTAAGGTGACAGATCTCCTGCACATGCTGTGGAATTGCCCAGTGATAGAAGAGTTCTGGAGACGGCCATTGAAACAATCTCAATGGATTCTAGGTGACACAGGCTCTATCAACATGAATTATCATAAGAAATATTTGATTCTACTTGCAAGTACAGCAGTGAAAAAACGTATTCTGCTACATTGGGAAGCTGAAAATCTTCGTATGACGTGTTCTGTGCTTTTTGTTTTGCCGACTTTTTTGAGTTCTTGTTTTTGTTTTGATTTTTGTTCTAATTCTTTCTGTAATTACAAATGTTATTATGTTATTATTATTGTTTTCATTATGTTATTAGTTTTTGTGTTTGGTTTTCGGGTGTCTGAGGTTGTCCTTGAATGGCATGGATACAAGCGTGTGCACCTAAGAGTGCTCCTGTGGTCACAATGGCCTGCCACGTTGTGGTTAGTTGTAGATGTTTGCTGTGTGCCATAGTTGTGAGATTTTTGTTTGTTTGTTTGTTTGTTTGTTTTGTTTGTTTGTTTTTCAATTTAAAATGAAAATAAATCTTATGAAAACAAAAGTTGAGCCACTGTCTGTCCGTCTGTTGAATCGGACGACACTCATATTTCACCGACTCACTAACCTGTCACTGAAGTGAAGATATTAAACATCTTGGACTGGAGAGTTTTGACCTTCCTGTCATAACTACGAGCTGCGTGTTTCTTTGACTTTGCCACGATAATGGAGATGAGATGCATCCATCCCTTTTCTATGTGTTTTAGTCAAACCTACAGTGCATTTTATAGATGCTGGATCCACTATTTCCCTTATTGAGACCAATGTGTTGGCTTTTGTCCTCGGCTGCAGCTAAAAAGCCTGATATGATTTGGGGTCAATAATGTCCTTTTAAAACTTGATAGAGTTGAGTCTGCAGAATGTAAAACCATGAACTGCCAAAGACATGGAAAACAGAGGATTTGCTGCTGACTGCAGGAAATATGACCAAGTGCAACACAGAACTATAATGTAAATGAATGTTTGTTACATTGTAGCTAAATGTGTTCACACAGAGCTGATTAATTGCAACTTTAGCCTCTCTTGTTGTAAAGCTAATGTCTGTGGTAACACTGACATTAGCTTTAGTGCATCAACCAGCAATGAAAACAACCACAGAGGAAGACACATGGGGCCACACCAACAGAACCAGGACTTTTATCATTGCAAGGAAAATAAAACATACACTGCAAAGTAACAGAGAATATACTAAACATAGCAAATTAAATATTACAGAAAAACATTTAAAATAACACCAAGAACAGTTTGATGTTTTCTGTGAGTGGTGTCCCATGTGCCCTGTGTCCTGGAGCCTAGTGTCCATGCCTTGGTGTTCACAGCTGTGTTGGTGGCACGAGACACCTTTACATAATATAACCTCAGAGCTTTCAATGCTGTCAGTGATTGGGTGAGTCTTCAAAAGGCCTGATCCTGAACCTGGGAACACGTAATCCCTTCCCCTGACACCAGTGTGTTATGACTGTAAAGCAAAAACTGTGTCAACATATTTAGAGAAGATTAAGCATTAAACTGGAACTTTCCTGTCAACAATCCTTCTGAGTGTTGGCCTCGCCAGAACAACTGAAGTTTTCAGTGTGACGTCTAAGCACTAGCTTTAGAAAGAGCAGCTCTTTCCTTTTCTTTTGTTACTAATATTTGTTTGATTTATCTTTCTGTGTGATGTTGTCATTCATACCAATATTATGCTGAAGCATAATTTAGCTTAAAATGCCAAATATACAGCAAGCCCTGTAGCACAGTGTATAAGCTGTTTGTCTTTAATGCCGCCCTGTGTCCAGTGTTTTTAGCTGCCTGGCCGTCATCAGGATGCCGTCTGAGGCTGTTTCTTCTTCTTTCTTTCACATTCACACTGGACTGAATCAGTGGGTGAAGTTCCAGTTTCTACATGTAAACTTTGCAATTTCTTATAAAATTCTTTCATTTATGGCGCAAGTCTAAGAACCTGGTGCACACTAAATATTTATTCAGATAACATAAACAGAAAATTGCAAATTTCAAGTTTCAAGTTTTATTGTCGTGTACAGACAAACATTTATCCATAATGAAATTCTTTGGCTCCCCAGCTTTACAGCAGCATATAGAGAGTGTGCAGTTATATTGAGAAGAAAATCACAGAAAATGGCAGCGGTAGTAATAAAATAATAATAATAATAACAACAATAAAAAGGAGAGGAACAAGTATTAAATATTAGAGAATTTAGTTGGTATTTACAAATACATCCATGGCTTCAACCTTCAATATATGGTAGAAAGATGTGAAGGTCAAAGTTGTGAAGATGACACGTGTGGTTTTAGAGCAGAGCTTTTCTGTCACCTGACAGTTAAAGACTATTCAGACTGATGGTTTGAGTGTTTCCATTTAACTCAGTGACTTCGTTTCTGACTCTACAAGCCACCACACTGCTGTCAGAGACACTGAAGATGGTTTCTAGTATTTCAGTTAATTTTAACTTTATTGATATAGTTCCAAATCACAACAACAATCACCTCAGCATGTTTTATATTTTAAAGAAAAGACCCTACAATAATAGACAGAACCCCCTGAAAATACCCCAGAATCAGATGACCGCTCTTTGAGCAGATTTCAATCCTTAATTATTGGATTATTGTCAAAAGTGGAAGAAATTTCTTGTTCCAAAACAAAGTGGTGAACAGATGAACGGAAGAAGTGAGCGTGCTGTGGTGGACCTCCTGCTTTGATTCAACTACAGCCATCTTTGTCCCACAGAAGTGAATTTCAGAAAAACTTAGTCAACAGCAGAACAGCAGAGAGGAGCCTGTGTTGATGAATTAAAGGAAAAATAATAATGCGCTGATTGATTTAATTAAGGTTTAATTGTAGTGTAAGTTTCCTGCCTTTTTACCACCTTTTCCTTTGAATATTATTAATGGCTGAAACTGTAATTTGAAGGGAGGAAAGTCAGTAAAGTCATTATTGAGACGGAGGAATTCTGAATCTGTTCATAGATAGATATGATATGAACATGTAACTGCATAGAGACAGAAAACAAATGTACTCAACCCAGATCATCTCTACTTAAAATGAAAGGATTTTACGTGACAGAAGGAGAAACAGCAGCAGACTTACGGAGGGCGTGCCATTCGTCCTGCCTTATTGTCTTGGTGATGTTGTAGGAGAGGTTTTTGGGTATCGTAGCTGAGGAATAGTGATACTTGATGTAGGAGCACCGAGTAATGGAACCTGCAAAGGAACAAAAGGTTTTTGTTTGTTTGTTTTTATAAACAGAATATTTACACAAACATTCCCTCTAACGACACAGACTGAACAGAAGCTTCAGTTCAGACGTGATTCAGCTGGAGAGGCTGCGTCTGCCCTGGACGCACAATCAGCTTCCTGCGTCAGTGGTGAAGAAACTCTTTTAACATCTCTACAAACCACAGCAAGAACACAATGGCTGCGTGAACAATTATGTTCCTCTAAAACTATTAACTAATGAATCAGGAGAGCTTTCAGTGTGCACTCCTAACAGTACAGCGGTGGCTAGAGCATCTATCATAAAACAAGAAAGCACAAATAATTTAGAAATCTGTCAAATACTTGTTCAAAACGAAAAATTATATCATTACTTATGACAAAAATAGCAAATTAAATTCATGTTCATGTACATGTGGCCTGTACACACATTCCTCCTGTAGCTCTGTGGCCCGGCCCACACCTGTGACTGTGATGCTGTAGGTTCATAATGAGGCTGTAACTTCCTCCGTTTCCTTTTGACACCATTGCTGCTTGTCTCTGGCAAGGCCACGTGGCTCACAAACATGACATTATTAGAGTCTTTGGAGGTTTGAATTACACAGACAAGACAATCATACCACCACATGCATTTCCTCAGTCCTGATAACACACACACACAAAGTGCTACACTGTGGTTTATGTGAGCGTAACATAAGGGTTAACAAACAGGTGCTCCCCAAAACCAGACAAGCAAAAGCCAATTCACAGACAAAGGTGACGTTTATTGCTCTGCCTATAACACCGAAAGCATGAACTCCAGGGTGGACCGAGGCCCAAATAACAGACAAGACAACCAAACCCAAGTCGTACCCCTAACTCTAGTTCCCACTTTCTGCTTCAATGCTGTTTACAAATGGGAAAAGTTATTGGCAGCATTAATCACTATTAATCACTTAGAGGCTGAGGAAATACGCTTGGACAGGGCCGGCACTGGTTGGCCAAGAATCTCCTAGATTTTTATTTTTTTAAGTTTTCTTCATCATTAATGTAATCCAGTGATATTTACCAGTATTTCCAATCACAGAGAGCACAGCTAAGACTAAATAAAACGCTCAAATACTACATCTCACAGAAAACATTTAATATTATCCAGAGATTATTTAAATAAACTTTAAATAAAATAATGCAGAGCAAATTTTTCATTTCATCTTTGTAAAGCAGAAAACAGGTAAACAGGTAAATAACGTTTTGAGCTTTGTACCCAAGGAAAGTAAAGAGGGTTAGTTAAAGGGTCTTTCTCTATAATGAACAATTCAAGCTACATTAAATGCATCACAGCCAAGTATTTGGCCGACATTGTAAACATCGAGCTTGACTCTTCTGTTGCAATGATGTGTCCATGTCTTGTGTGGAAAGTACATAAGCAGGTCGTACTTCCACATACGTGCCCCTACAGAGCTACTCTGGAGAACTGATGGGGCACCGTCACACAGCTCCTCCCTGCTGAAGTGCAGTCAGTTCTCTGCGGCTGTTTTTGTTTGTTTGTGCATCCATTCACTTCCACTTATCCTTTTCAGGGTCGTGGGGGGTGCTGGAGCTTATCCCAGAGGCGAGAGGCGGGGTACACCCTGGACAGGTCGCCCGCCTGTCGCGGGTCTAACACATGGACACAGACATTTGCACTCACATTCACACTTGTGGCGAAATCCCACGCAAACACGGGGAGAACATGCAAACTCCACACAGGAAGACGCGGCCTGATGGTGGAATTGAACCCAGGACCTGTTTGCTGTGAGGCAACAGTGCTAACCACTGTGCTGCCTTGTTTGTTTGTTTGTTTTTTGTTGACACACTGCAAAGTGACAACATTTTGTAATTTTAGCAGAGAGCAGCTGTGATCAACTATAACAAACTACATTACAAAGATCTGCTAAAATAAATACAAAGGAGAGCTCACTGTACTGTTTTAATGTGGAAAGGCTGTTCAGTGAGAGCATTTCACGCAGGCCTTTGCCGTGTGCACCTCATGATTAATGGGCTTATACACTGAACCACCTTTAGCATCAGTAACTTGGTGTAATAATCTTCTGTATCACATGATCATTATGGAGGAGTTATGGCCAACTTTGCTTCAGTTCACTGAGGTTTCTGTCACAGGAGTTTAAGGTCTGCACGTTGGGCCACTGCAGCAGCTAAAGTTAGCACCTGCAGGTGGCGCTATATAAATAAAACTGAATTCAATTCAGTTCACTTGAATTCAATGCTGCCTGCTACGCAGACATCATACACTCTACACTACTGTATGTTCTTAGTGTATAAATGTGATAACAGAGATTGCACTACTGTCAGTTTGCTCCGTCAACAAACTCCCATAGAGCTGCTTGCATTATTAGACACAGTGCATATAAGGGCTATAATGTGACACCGAGCTGAAAACACAGCAACACACAAAACAAAGAGAAACTGAATAAATATGACACTGGAATAGAAGGAATAATAAAAAACAACAGTTTCTTCATTGAGATCTTTAGAAGCCGTCAAAAGTATAGAAGGCAAATAAAAATCGAGTGTTAATGTCTCCTCCTCTTCTTGGAGTTGTGCGTCCTCGATGCCACATTCTGACACTTTTCACTGTGGAAACTGTGAGGAGTTGATGTCAGTGGCATCTATCTCCTCCTGCGACCGGCTGCTAGCAGCTGTGGGGCACATATAACAAGGGCTTGACTCTTATTCATACTGTTCAGCTGGCTTCTCGTGTCTTACCTGCAGGAGGTTTTTGGCTATAGCTGGTTCCCATTTGGTGTGTAGGTTCTTGTTGCTGTATTGTATGTCTGCTAATCTGCATTCTGGCAGCTCCACCCCTTCAGTCAGGGTCACCTTTCCTCTCTTTGCAGCTGTTTGGTCACACTTATCCAAACGGGCTCACTCATGTCCTGATGAATGACTCAATGATATCATCCACGTACAGGAGGTGGCTGACGGTAACAACACTCTTGAATCGTTATCCATATCCGCTGTTAGTGATGAGCTTGTTCGGGGCAACACCAAGGCGTTCCCAGGCCAGCCAAGAGATATAATCCCTCCAGGTTGTCCTGGGTCTGCCCGGGGCCTCCTCCCGGTGAGACATGCCTGGATTACCTCACCCATTAGGCATCCAGGAGGCATCCTTGTCCTTTCAATGTGAAGGAGCAGCGGCTCTACTCTGAGCCCCTCCCGGATGGCTGAACTTCTCACCCTCTCTAAGGGAGAGGACAGCCACCCTTCGGAGGAAGCTCATTTTTGCTGCTTGTATTCGCAATTTCATTCTTTGAGTCACTACCCACAGCTCTGACCACAGGTGAGGGACGTAGAATCGACTGGTATATTGAAAGCTTTGCTTTTATACTCAACTCTCTCTTCACGGCGGACGGTACAGCATCGCTGCAGTGGCAGCAGCGCTCCATCATATGGTAAATATAAATGATTCTATCTGCAACTCTCAGACAAGATTCAAAAGTCTGGTCTCTGTCCAAAACGTGTTTGGTTTCAACTGAATTTCACTGCACCTTTAAGAGCACTTGCACTATTTTCTTGATCCTTAAAAAGTCACTTAAATTCAACCATAGTTACTGATGGGGGCAGTATATTCAAAACCTATAAGCTCTGTTTGACTTATTATTTAAATAACTTGTGTTTCACTAACACAAAATAATTTGGAGACAATCTGCTTTTGCTAAATCCGGTTAGGCAGGTTATGTTTTGAGTAATGGGGAGAAGTCCCATTAGTCGAGTCCATGTTTGAAGTGGGGGAAGGGAGGTTTGTATGAAACATTCGTCATCCTTCTGCTCTCCCCTTGGCCTGAAGCTGCCTGTGTTTCCACATTTGATTTCCTGAGAAGTGCTAACCTCTCCGGTGCTTGTCTCTGTGGACAGAAATGCTTGAGCAAGCCAAACTCCGACCCTTTGGCATATTTGTGAGCTGGCAAACACATTACATCCTTTCACTGAGGTATCCTCCTTCCAGCAGTTAGACTCAGGCACACTGCTCTCACAAACCCAAATGGATTTCTATCTCAGTCATTTTAGTTAAATTGCCCTTCAGCCTTCTGCAAACGTCTCTGAGCCAGACACCATTTCCTCTCCATTACTGATAGTGACTGGAAGTGATACTGAACGAGTGGGGCTGTGTGCATTTCTATACACATCCACTCATGAGAGTGCTTTTCTGTTCTCAGTCTCTGGATGTCTAAAGCTTTATTTTTGGGCTCAAAGGCCTTAGAATAAAGAAGGCCAAAGGTCAAACACCATTGCATCACATTAAAGGTTCATTGGAAGGTTATTGTTACTCACTTCAATATGATAATGAAGAGCTGTTATGTGAACATACAGTTAATAGGACTCCGGCTTGCTGCTACTTTCTGCAGGAGAGGATGGATCTTTCGTTACCTGAAATATCCTTTACACTCCTGTGTGAATCTAATGTATTCATATGTATTATTCTTTCGTACTGGAGGGGCTCGAAGCCGAGTGTGAAGCGGTGGGAATGAGAATCAGCGCCTCCAAATCTGAGGCCGTGGTCCTCAGCTGGGAAAAGACTTTGAGTGCCCACTCCGGGTCAGGGATGAGTTCCTGCTCTGGAGTTTAAGTATCTCGGGTCTTGTTCACAAGTGAGCGGAGAAAGGAGCTGGAGACGGGTCGGTGCTGTGGCTGCAGTCCAGAGCTGAGCGTTCCTGCTTATCACGACTATTCTTCAACTTTGTTTTAAAAGGTCCTCTGCCTACTGACAAATCTGAAATATTGCATCAAAATTCTTGGAAGATCTGGGTTGGCTGTGGCTCTAGAGGTAGAACAGGTCATGTACCAATCTGAAGGTTGGTGGTTTGACTGGCTGCTCCAGTCTGCATGCAAATATCCATGGGCGAGATACTGAGTGCAGGGCGCTCTCTGATTCATCCATCAGTGTAAATGTGGGTGTGTTTCCCAGATGAGCATCAGTGTGTGGTCTGTAAGGTCTTAGATACAAATTTGTTCCTGGATTTTCTCGTTTTGGCTGCAAACAATTTTAAAACAACTTTATTGTTTCATAAGCATTAAACATGATCCTAGAACAGAGCAGCTTCCTGTGCCTGATGATCTTATGTCATTTTTGAATGTAGCTTAAGCCTGAACCCGAGTTCTGTGCTTATATTTATTCCTGACTCTCAGACTTAAACACCTCAGAGGTAGGCGAAATGATAAAAACTAAAATCGTCCTTTAAACGTTAATTTAGTGAAATACTGGATTATCCTATCAGATTATTATGAAGGACCAAACATATTCACTCATCCATTCAAATCATTGAATTCAGGTGTTCCAGTCACTTCCATGATCACAGATGTATAAAATCAATCACCCAGGCCTGCAGACTGCTTCTACAGACATCTGTGAAAGAATGGGTCGCTCATTTCTTCAATACTGAGACTTCCACAGTTAACTGTGAGTGGTATTATAACAAAGTGGAAGTGACAGCAGCTCAGACACAAAGTGCTGGCCCACAGGAAATCACAGAGCGGGTTCGGCGGACGCACAGAGGTCATTCCCAGAGAACATTGGGGAACGGGATTCCACAGCTCCACAGCTGCATCCACGCCTTACATCACCAAAAGCAAAGCATCAGACACACTGCTGTAAACCATGCTGGACATCAGAGCAGAGGACATGTGTTCTCTGGGCTGAGGAGTCGCACTCCTCTGTCTGCCAATCCGACTGACAAGTATGGTTTTGCCAGTTGCTGGTTTTATGTAGACTGCGAAACATTCCCAGTGGAAACCTGAGCTTTTACTTTTTCTTTGTTCTTTGGTGGTCATGGTAGAAAGGTTTGACAGTCCTCTGCCAGATGGAAGGTCATGCTATCCAGTTGTTCAGTGATGACGCGACGAATCCTACTTCCGGGCCTAAAGTAGTCTGCGTTTAATATGGCTTTTGTGTTGTTAACATGTTTAATGTTTTGTATTTTCTTCTATTTGATCTCAAAAAGCTCCTAAAACAGTCAGTGATCACTGTTGACCTCCCTCGGCTTTTATTACCGCTAATCATTTATTTAAGCTCAGTTTTTAAAACCTTAGGATGTAACTACAGCCCAGCCCATGCAGCAGTATATGAATGACTAACCTCGTATTGTGGATGGATTATCTCAGTTGTTCTCCTGGCTGAAGTTTGGTCCTTTTACAGCATCCTGCCATGCGATTACATTTGTTCCTGACCACCGAGAACACTCACGTTAACTTTTATCGAGTGGAAAAAAAGTTAGCTTGTTTATATTATGCTAACATAGCTGTGTCGCTAGCGGTCACGTAGCACATCATTATATACCAGCTAGCCCAACTTCAGTAACCCTACAAACGTCACTGCTGTTTAGTTTTCTGTCTTCATTTATGCTGGAAGTGATAGCAGAGCTGTACGTTTTAATTTGTTTCCAAAACCCCGCAGTCAGGACATGCTATATTGTATTTAGATAGAAGCTAGCGAGCTAACTCCCTGCTAACTTCTAACTCCGTTAAATGTCATAAATTCCGTTTTCATGGATGCCTGGATGTTAAACTCAATTGTTACACCTGGTAGAGCAGAACGCTGATCATTTTATTAAAGATGAAAGACTTTAGACAGTTTTTCAACTCTCAGTAATGCCATAGTGATCGTTTGATATATGGACCTGCAGCGGAGTTTAGGCCCAGACACGGCTAGTGACGTCAGACTGAACGACCGGATAGTTCAAGCTCTGCATGGACTAATTTTTGCATGACACACTTCATCTCTCCCTCTGTCCATCCTCCCTCCTCCTGCCAGTAGGATCAGAAGGGGAAGCAGACAGCCATCCCTGATGCTGTGTTTTCCCAGTTGGGAGACACAGAGACACAGATGGGTGTTGGAGGCTTCATCACGTGAGGGGGGAGCTTGTTCATGTCAGTGGCACAATTACAACCTTTAAGGAAGTGACTCCTTCAAGGCCAACTTGAACTACCTAAACTTTCCTCACACAGAAGCTGATTAATGGATGAGTTCTGATACAGCACTCAAAGCACTTTATGCAATATTACCATTAAAATTTAGATTTTTTTGGAGCCTTTATTTAACCTGACAGTGGAACTCGTAGCTAACATGGTTAGTGAGCATGTGTTTCAATGGAAGGAGAAATCTGATCTCTGAAAATGTGCCCAAGCGTGAACAGAACATGGTTTAAACCTAGGACACGGTCAATGATTGCTTTACTTAAAAAGCCAATAATCCAGCTGATTACAGACTGATTTCAATCTTCCTTCATTTCAACATTTTTCTCTAAAGAATCATTAAAAGAGAGATAGACATCATCTGTTTCACCATCTGCAGAGCAGTGGTTGATTGATTGACTGTAATCTGAATGCTACATGGACTCAGAGCCAGTCTGCAAGAGACATTTACAGATATATCATTATTTCCATCACTGGTTGTTTGCAGCTTCAGGTGCTTTCGACTTCAAATTCTCATCAAATGTCGATAACAACCCGTCCAAACCACACGCGCACTAAAATCAAACTAAACATGTCCATAAATTAAGTTACATGTAATAACGAGAAATGTCACAGGGGAAACGTGTTGAACACGACGCGTCACGACAGCAGCTGAAATCTATCAGTAATTAGAAAGTAGTCCTGCCACTAAGAGCAAATTAACATCAGCTGATTCAATCCTGATGCCTATAAAAAGGTCTCTCATTACTGAGGTGTTGTTATTGCTGCAAAACATACTGGTGGCACTGGTTACAGAAGAATTGCTAAACTGGTGAAGGGTCCACTGTTGGGGCCATGACCATGAAGTGGGAAAAACCCCATTTCATCACAATCAGGCCACGACCAGCTGCTCCCTGCAAGATTTCAGACAGAAGAGTGAAAAGAATCAGCAGAAGAGTTGTCCCAGAGCCACTTGTAGAAAGTAACAGGAAGAAATGCTTTCACCACCATGGTCTGTACGCATGCTCACCATGTAAGACCGGTGAAGAAAAAGCATTTGTCACAGGCCTGGTGAGTGCTGTGTGGGTTTTCCATGTTTTGGCCACCCCTGGGCAGAGTTTACATCAGCCTGGTCTCATCAATCTTGCGACTCGTCTTGTGTTCCTTGTGCTCCTAGTATCTCCTCAGATCTGTCATACTCACTGCTTGCAGTTTGCCTGTTCCTCACCTGAATGCTGGCCTCACTGGAGATTCTGTGCACTGTCTGTGATTTTGGACGCACTCAGCTCACCTGCCTGCCCTCCAGTCACCTCTGCCTTGGACTGCCAAACATCTCAGGTTGTACACAGGTATCCAGGACTCTCACCTGGTCCCACTCAGCCATCCTCCCTCCCGGTTTCAGTCCCCGGTCACTCAGCTAATCTTTCTCTCCCTGTATTTCAGAGACCACCGCTCGAGTTACCTGCACCCTGAGCATTCCCGTGAGTATGGTTAGCACCTGTGATATTCTACGCACATTTCCCCTGTGAGCTCACTCCACCGGTGTTCTTGTAAATAAAGTCTGTGTTAACATGATTCCTGCTCTTCGTGTCTGGTTCTGCATTTTTAGGTCCACTTTCACAGACTGGCTTCCGGGCCCACCTTGACAATACGAATTGTCCAAAAGCAGAATGGATTCTGCGGATCAGTGATGGCAAAACAACAAACCTGTTAGGTCCCATGAACAATCCATCCAGTTTTTGATAACTCAGTATAAAGCTATTAGTGACAGGCAAGAGAAGATTCTTGCATCTCTTCAAGGACCGCAACCGGCTTGGTACCTGCTCCTTCCGAGCCTGCTCTGTTTTCTGCCCCCAAAAGCTCCACAACCCCAGATGTCATTTCTAGTGAGCCCCAGGAAGCTCTGTTGTTTCATGATGCTTCAACCCCAGACCCTGAGCTGTTCACTGGGGAGCAAGGTCACTGCGGAGGGTTCTTACTACAGTGCTCCCCACGCTCTTTCCCTAATCACCCCTAATTGGGAGATTGAGGGGTAAGGCTTTGAGTTAGGCTGAAGCATATTTGTCCTCCTGATCAGTACAGTCCTGCTCCTATGATGAGTCTCTCTCTCTCTCGCTCGCTCTCTCTCTCGCTCGTTCTCCCTTCGCAACGATAATCACTTCAAGAAGAGAGGCTGAAAGCAGCTACAGATCCCACAGACCACCCTGCAGTTCTCTTGCAGTTTCTGCTCCCACGTCTTCAGCTCCAGTATCAACATCCGCTCATGTCACTGCATCTTCCTCTGTACAGGCTGCTACTGAGCCTATGGAGATTGGACCATTTCCTTGCTGTCTGTCCCAAAAGGCTCCGCCCACCATCCAGGACATCACCCGATCCCACTCAGCCATCCCCTCCCGAGACACTCTCCAACGGTCTGCGAAGTACGTCTCATCAGATAGTTTAATCTGTCCTCGGTCCGCAGATAATCTTTCTCTCCCTGTATTTCAGAGCTCCCCACTCGAGTTACCCCAGTGTAGTTAGCACCTGTGATATTCCACGAGCTAACTCCACCTGTGCTCTTGTAAATAAAGTCAGTGTTAGCATCATTCCTATTGGTTCTGCATGTTTAGGTCCACGTTCACGTACTGGCCTTGACAGCATGCTGAAGTGCATTTAAAGTTTGCTGAACAGCATTTAGACAAGCCTGGAAAATACTGGTCAATCCAAATGTAAACTCTTTGGATGCCATAATAAACACCATATTTGGAGAGCAAAAGATAAAACACCATACCAACAGTGAAGTTTGGCGGCAGGAAGCTGTCATCACTAACAAATGCCTCTGTACAAAGTATTAAATACATTTCAGTAAAAGTATAATACTTTCCCTGTGTCATTTCTTACATAACTTAACTTACGGACATCTATGGTCCCATTTGTGATCGGATGTGTTGTTACCAACATCTGGTGAGAATTTACAAATATATTTTGTAAAGGTGCCTGAAGTGTCCTGCTGCTATCACGGGACCTGAAGTAGGCCACCTGAAATCTTTTGTTATAGTTATCGGCCGCCTGAGACTGTTTTATGGGGATTTTTCCTTTTTTTGCACCGCTGCTGGATGCACGGCCTGACTTTGGGACTGTGACCTAGGAGGGTTTGTTGTTTTTGCTTTTGGTTCTGGCCCTCCGTCCAGGACCCCCTGCTGCCCACACTGTGGTGTTTTGTTTTGTTTTAGGGTCGTCGGGAGCCGACCCTTAGAGGGGGGGTTGGCCAGTGTCATGCTATCAACCTTTTATAATTCAAGTGCTGTAATGACTGTATTTAAAAAAAAAAAAAATAGTATTGATCACCCTAATTATCGTTATCACCACCTCATCTCATAGTGATTGAACAGATTTTCAGTCCTGAATGGGTAAGTCCAGTTATAGTGACACTGGCATGGGACTTGGCATTACAACATAGAGACAGATGGGAGTGGAAAGGTGAATTTGTCAACAATGGGTTTGGCCTCGTTTTTAACATTCAATTCAATTTTATTTATATAGCGCCGAATCACAACAACAGTCGCCTCAAAGCACTTTATATTGTACAGTAGATCGCACAATAATACATATAGAGAAAATCCCAACAATCATATGACCCCCTATGAGCAGCACTTTGGCGACAGTGGGAAGGAAAAACTCCCTTTTAACAGGAAGAAACCTCCGGCAGAACCAGGCTCAGGGAGGGGCGGGGCCATCTGCTGTGATGGTTGGGGTGAGAGAAGGAAGACAGGATAAAGACATGCTGTGGAAGAGAGACAGAGGTTAATAACAGATATGATTCAATGCAGAGAGGTCTTTAACACATAGTGAGTGAGAAAGGTGACTGGAAAGGAAAAACTCAATGCATCATGGGAATCCCCGGCAGCCTACTCTATTGCAGCATAACTAAGGGAGGATTCAGGGTCACCTGGTCCAGCCCTAACTATATGCTTTAGCAAAAAGGAAAGTTTAAGCCTAATCTTGAAAGTAGAGATAGTGTCTGTCTCCTGAATCCAAACTGGAAGCTGGTTCCACAGAAGAGGGGCCTGAAAACTGAAGGCTCTGCCTCCCATTCTACTTTTAAATACTCTAGGAACAACAAGTAGGCCTGCAGAGCGAGAGCGAAGTGCTCTAATAGGGTGATATGGTACTACAAGGTCATTAAGATAAGATGGGGCCTGATTATTTAAGACCTTGTATGTGAGGAGCAGGATTTTGAATCCTGGATTTAACAGGAAGCCACTACAGTCCCTGTCAGTACATGAGGCCAGCTCTGTCACTGGGACAGTCTTGATTGGTTTCATCCTCTCTTTATGTGCTTAGCTTATTGCTCTCCATCATATTGTCCCTGCCTTGATGCAAAGTCCCATTTCCAATCAGTTGAAAGTGTGAAATTTGCATCAGATTTGCATAATGATGACAGCCTTCCTCAAGAACTGCTGCAGACTGTGCTCCCTGTCTGCCTCTTCTCTCCTTCTGTCTTTCCTGTTCCATGATTTTTTTTGTGTGCCCGCTAAGCTCTCCGCCTCTCCGATCCTCTTTGTGCCCCGCCTATTCATACAATGAGAGAGCGGTCTGGCAGGCCTCGAGTCTAAGCTTGTTGCTATAATTAAACCTGTGGTGTCAACGTCCACCACTCCAAATCCAGCAAGCAACCAGCAGATACAGACACATAGTTACAATCACGTACCTGACACCAAAATCTGAGTGTGCTCGTGTTCCTCCTGTCAACATATGCACATGTGCATCTGTGTGCCCTCTGTGGTCTGGAACCATCAGCTTGTTATTACAAATGATATTTTTCATTTTCAACAACTTGGCTCTGTGATATAAATAAAACTGCCACACAAACCACACTGTCTTAAATGTCATTTAATGTTGTTAGTGTTGCTCAAGGTCAAACAAAAGTGAGGGACAAGAATGCTTCTTGCTTACATGGATGGTAAATGGTAAACAGACTGGTTCAGGTAGCACTTTTCTACTCTGAGCACTCAAAGCTATCATTCACACACATCCATAGTCCGATGGATGCATCCTCGGGCTTCGTATTGCCCGAGGATGTTTGGCATTGTAACAACCCTTATTATGGCATAGCACCACAAGGGGCGTGTCCCATTATTGTAGCAGTTGAAGGCTCTGTCCCAATTCAGGGTCTGCACGCTTGAAGTACGCGCACTACGCGTACTACGTACGGTGCGTACTATAAGTACGAGAAGTGCGGAAGTGAGAGGCTTGTGAAATGGGTCGTCGTCCCACGCGACGACAGCTGTCCCAATTCGAAGTGTACTTTAAATGCGCCGTCGATTTCCCCAAATATCAAGCGTGGTCCGGTGCACGCTTCGTGGTCCCATATATCCCACAATTCATAGCGCGGCGGTGGGTGTGGATAATTTTGCCGCAGAAGGGAGCGGCCGAAGAGGTTTTTTTTTTTTTCAAAACTTTGTTGAAATTATAAAGCGAACAGTCAGTCATTCCAGTTCAGTTTGTACAGTAGACATACAAGGCAAATAAGAGTAACAATATACAGTACAATGAAATAAGAAGGATGAATAAATACAGGATAAAAAAGAAAAAAAGGGGGGAATGTGACAGACTTCATAACAACTTTGTACTTGAAAGTTCTGACAGCTCATTCGTTACACATGTCTGAATGAATTTCAATCAATGATAAACCTTTTTTATTGGAAGTTAATTTAAGAGAGTTTAAGTAATATTCAATTTCAATCATGCGCTGTTCAGGTTGCCTAGCAACCATGATACTAACCGCGAGACACGTTACATACAGCTTTGTTTGACAGAAATGAAGGAGAAAAATGTTTTGTTGGTCATTCATTTTTGTCATGACATCACTTTGATTAGTTGAGTATCTGAGGCTGAGACCACAGGACTGTAAAACATGATTGTTGGGCTTCATTTCTGTACTGAAGCA